TCTTACCTTTTTTGGATAGTGGTCTTTTATTTGACCTAATTTTATCCAACAAATATCTGGGCACCAGGAGACATATGTTATTTGTTTTTACAAGGATTTGGATGTCCTTGTTCTGTATTTAATACACCTGGAAAGGCTTGATAAACAGTGTTATGTATTAAAGCTCTCTTTTCCCAGCGCTATAACACATATGAATCACCTGGAGAGATTGTTAAAACACGGATTCCCCAGGGATTTGGGTTCTTTTTAATTTTTTAATGTTTATTTTTAAGAGAGAGAGAGAGCATGAGCTGGGGAGAGGCAGAGAGAGAGGGAGACACAGAATCTGAAGCAGGCTCCAGGCTCTGAGCTGGCAGCATGTAGCCCGATACAGGGCTCGAACCCATGAACCAGGAGATCATGACCGGAGCCGAAGTCAGACACTTAACTGACTGAGCCAACCTTTGGGGATTCAGGTTCTGAAGGTGGGTCCAGGGTTGGGCCCACAAATTTGTATTTTGAGAAATTTCCAGGTGATGCTGTGACTGTTGGTCAGGACCACTTGTCTGATGGGTCATTAAATGCCAGAAATGACAAATTCCGTGAACTATGGTAACATGTTTCAAGATTATACTTCTCATTAATTCCACGTACACATACACATTCAACAAATATCAAATAGTATCTTGTTTGTGTCTTTTATGTAATGATGTGGATTCCTTTTATTTACTATAAGGAACACTTTGCTTTATAGCAGGGTTGTGTTTTTTTTTTAATAGAAATAATTTCTTCTTTCCCATTTAATCTATTATGTACGCACACATCTTCTCTGTATTTCTGGAACTTGAGGATGACAGAAACTTGGGAATTTGATTCCCCATGTCTCTGACAAACCTATTTTTTTTTTAACAAATGCCATTATTGAAAGATTTTTTTTTAAACATATAAATAACAGGGAAATAAAAGTGAATAAACTGTAAATAATAATACTTTTCACTAATGAACTAAAAAAGTGGTGATTTGTCATTTAGTAAAGATTCTCTTTCTGATTTAAATCTAGATTTTTGTATTTCTGTGCAATAGGAAAAATAAATCCATCGCTAACCTTCAATCATCACATTATTCATTTTTGAAATAATTTCTTTCTCTTCCTTTCTAAAGCCAAGTACCATACTCTCAGCATGTCCATCTGAGAGAAATATAAACCTGTCAGGTACTGGCACTATCTGTGTCATGGGTTTTATTGTTTGCAGATACTTCTTAGGTTAATTTCTGTCCCTTGTGGATATTTTTCTGAAAGAAACTTCCTGTTCTCATTCTAAAAAAAAAAAAAAAAAAAAAAAAAAAAAAAAAAAGGTGAGTGGCCTTCTCGCTATACATTATCAATATTCTTAGGGTAAATTATTTTTCACTTAATGTCCCTGTGTGATGCCCGTAATGAAATTTTTAGTTCATTAAAAAATAATGAATTTCCTAAGTTCCAAGTCATAGTTTTTAACTTAAATATGTAAGTAATGTTCTCGAAAGCTTTGCCATTCTCAAACCACTCGTACAGTAATTCCTCTTTGATCATCACAAAAACCTAACATTTAAATTCTAACTCTGCAAATTGAGAAATATGTAGTTGTTCTCATCGAGTTAATTAATCTGTCCATTATACATTTATTGAATGCATAGGAGATGGCAGGCCTTCCATTAAATGCTGGAAGTGAGTTAATGAACAGAATAGTTCCTGAGTTCCTGGATTTCAGAGTGTAAAAGAAAACCAAGGATTACAGTCCTCGTTTCATTTCTAAAATGAGGCTCACACAGAGGGTGATACTGAGGAAGGGCACACAGCATTCCACCAGACGTGATGAGGAAGTTGGCCAGACAGGATAGAGAAAATTATTTTTTAATCTGAGGGAGTTCTACATGCAATTGTAGGATGTCTGCTTTTCTTATGGGACTTGCACTGATATTCTGTATTCCTAGTAGGATTTCTCTGGGAGATCCCAGCAAACACTTTGCTGCTTCTCTCTATTAATGAGAACTCTCCCCACTTTCCCTTAGTGGAGAGAAAAAAAGTTCTGTCTTTATTTCTCAAGAAGTTCTTTCCTCTTTAGATTAGACTTTTCACTAAACAAAAGTTGAGTGTCTTTTTAAGCTTTTCGATGTTTGTGCTTTGCCCCCTAAGTTGCCCTGGGTGGTTGCTTTTGTCCCTTTGTTATTATTTATTCCCCCCCTCTACGAGGAGTACGGTCTTGCAGGCAGAATTCATTACAAAATTAGGCTTTTCTAAGAACTCAGCTTTGCACCTGGTCTCCTTTTCTGCTAACAGTGTATCTGATAAGTTTTACTTAATGATCTAATATCTGTGGTTGACAAGATTTTAGTAGCTGCATGCCCTCTTTCAGCCTCTGTGGGGCAATAAAACACATGAATGAGTTCTCCATCTTCAGAAGAAAAACCTGAGACAAATAATAACCTTAAAGTGCAGCCTCAATCAGCTTTCCACCATGAGCATGGTATCACCACAGTTCATTAAAGTGGGGAGTTAACATAGCATTTCCCTATGTGTTTGTCACATTTTAAATTCCATTTGTTTTATAATAATAATAGTTCTGTAGTACTTGCATATAATTTATAAGCTGAAAAGCATACATATGTTGGTTGTATGTGATCAAAATTGTCCCATTAGGGGAGCATGATCAAAAAATTTGGAACTTAAGCTGTCTAAATCACAAACATCTTAAAAATGTTACAAAGACAAAATATTAAAAAGGACATTTATTTATTTAAAGTTTATTTATTTTTGAGAGAGAGAGAGAGAGAGAGAGCACACAAAAGTGGGTTAGGAGCAGAGAGGGAGAGAGAATCCCAAGCAGGCTCCACACTGTCAGCACAGAGCCCGATGCCGGGATCAAACCCACAAACCATGAGATCGTGACCTGAGGCAAAGCCTGGCACTTGACTGACTGAGCCACCCAGGAGCCCTAAATAGGACCTTTAAGCTCCATGTTGGAGGGGCACCTAGATGGCTCAGTCAGTTACTAGTCCAACTTCGGCTCAGGTCATGATCTCACGGTTTGTGAGTTCGAGCCCCACATGGGCTCTGCGCTGACAGCTCAGGACCTGGAACCTGCTTAAGATTCTGTGTCTCCCATTTCTCCGCTCTTCCCCCACTCCACACACACATACTCTCTCTCTCTCTGTCTCTTTCTCTCTCAAAAATAAATAAACTTTAAAGTAAATAAATAACATAAAATCCATGTCAGAGCTAATAAGTGTTCTCAAAGTCTGCGCAAAGCAGCCTTGCACAAGAACAAGTCACTTCCTCAGGCTGGGAAGCATTTGCTCCTCTCCTCAGCTAACACTGGGATTCGATGGCAGTTTTTCATCGTTGTGAGTGCAGGGTGTGAGTTGGAGGTGGAAGCTAAAAGCTAACAATACTCTAGGACAACTGATTCTGATTTTTACACCGAATTCTTATAGATGAGTAAATCCAGACTTTTTTCTCCCTTTACACTTTGTAGTGTATTTCTTAATAAAAACAAACAAAACAAACTTGATATTTTCTAAAACCAGTCCTGTGCATTTTTCGTCAGTTCATTCTCTTCCATTGAATCCAAGCCAGTTATTAATTTTGAGAAAAAAAAAAAAAACTTCAGGTTTTGGTTATGAAAACATCAGTGGTGTTTTCAATGAAAACAATAGTGGTGTTTTCATTGAAAACAATCTCACTATTTTTCTCATTTTTTGTAAGTTAAAATTCTCTTTCAACTGCACAAACATCATTAGCATGATTTATCGGCATTTTTGGTGGATTGCGCAGGCATTGAGGACAATAATACCCTTTTTATCTGCGTCCCATCTCGTTTCTTACTCTGAAATCTGAAAAGACAACCCATTGGAACATTGGCAAAATATGTAGGCTATCATTTTCATATTTTCCTTCCTAAACATTAAATGGTCTAAATTAATGGTAACTTGAGGGTTTCAAGGCACATTTCTGGAGTTTAGAATTTAAGGTAACGAGTATTAGTAGATAATTCATTTTGCTGGAAACCTGTAAGAAGTCCACCTAATGTCTCTTTTTCTCTTAATGGAGTACAAGGAAAACATTACTCTTGTGACTTAAGATATTATGCTATAAGAGATTCATGACTTAGCAGTAGAATAATCATAGGGGCACCTGGGTGGCTTGGTCAGCTAAGCATCTGACACTTGATTTCAGCTCAGGTCCATGATCTCATGGTTTGTGAGATTCAGCTCCACAAAGACCTCTGCACTGACAGCATGGAGCCAGCTTGAGATTCTCTCTCTC